TGTGTGTGTGTGTGTGTGTGTGTGTGTGTGTGTGTGTGTGTGTGTGTGTGTAAAAATAGAGTCTATGATGAATAGACAAATGTTAAATAGCAATTATAAGAATGTATGTCTATGAACGAATTTGGAAGGGAAAAATAAAAAAAAACTTTTTATAAATAAATGAATAAATAGTATGTACAGAATTTATATGAATGCCTTTGATTCAACTCTTTAGTCTCTTCTGCATAGCTATCCAAGAAGCAACCATAATGCTTACATGCCAATCCAATAGCAATAACTCCACAGTCTCCTTGGTTCCAAACTTGATGTTCCAGATGTTCAACTTAGATGTCAGTTCATTGAAGATAGCTGAGCTGGATGAGCAGTAGTATTCCACAATAATGCTGAAATTTTCAAGTTGAACTTTGCTGAACCTGCAAATAAACCCAACATCTTGTCTATAAAATATAAGACAAAACCAATGAACCTGATCTGCACTCTATAAAACATGCTGTGCTCTAGAAAAATGCACAGCTTTTTTACCGGTTAAATAGGTTGTTCTGTCTTTATTACCAACCAATTTACAGATTTACAGGCTGTGAAAATATCTACAGACCCCTCACATCCTGGACGTAAATCGTTTCAACTTCTACCCTCAAAACGACACTATAGGGCACTGCACACCAGAACACGATACAAGGACAGTTTTTTCCTGAATGCCATCACTCTGCTTAACAACTAATTCTCACAACAGTGTCAAATTATTTACTCAGACTGTATTACTATTATTCTTCTCATCCTTCCTAGTACCTATCTCTTCCCACTTATAACCATGTTGCTTGTATTTTTACAATTTATATTGTTTTATTTGTTTCCTAGTATGATTTGATTGCTTGTTAGTAACCTGTGACTATCACTAAGTGTTGTATCTTATGATTCTTAAGGAATATATTCTATTTTATTTTTTCTTTGTGTACACTGAGAGCAAATGCACCAAAGACAAATTCCTTGTGTGTTCAATCACACTTGGCCAATAAAGAATTCTATTCTATTGTTTTTGATGTGTTAGGTTGAACTGGGAACAGGAAATGCTGCAATCTGATCATGGTTGTGCCAGAATGATAAAATACAGTAGATGCATCTGAAGAGCAGAAGAAAAGTGTTAAAACTGCTGGAGAGCCTACAGGACCCAGACAAGACTTTAATAATAGCAGTTAGACTTATATACCGCTTCATAGGGCTTTCAGCCCTCTCTAAGCGGTTTACAGAGCCAGCATATCGCCCAACAATCCGGGTCCTCATTTCACCCACCTCGGAAGGATGGAAGGCTGAGTCAACC